CAATGGTTTTTTTAAAAATTGGCTCTTACTGTCTTGTGGTAAGATGTATGTGATTCTCTTTCAAGTCATTTGTGGTGACATTTCCCATTGTAAAATATGTGTTCAATTTTATAAATGGAAGCAGAAAAGCATAAGATAGATTGAGGAGCCCATTTAAAAAACGACACACAAGCATTATGGCACAAAGAGATTTTTAAAACTTGTGATAGTAATTAGAGCAAAAATGTACAAGGATTAAAGGGGACAGAATATGTGAAAAAGAGATGTGTGTGACTCAATGATGGAGCACTTGCTCTCTATGCCAAAGATTTCAGCTTCAATCTATTAGTTTTCCAGTTAGGGCTGGACCCTATCTAGCAGAATGAAATTCAAGGTAGAGAAAAGTAAAGGCTTACACTTAGGCAAGAAAAACCAAAAATACACATATTGACTGAGTGAAACCAGGCTTAATAGCAGTAACTGTGAGAGGGATCTTGGAGTCTTAGTGGATAACCAGTTAAATATGAGCCAGCAGTGTGCGGCGGCAGCCAAAAAAGCTAACACAATCCTAAATTGCATTAACAGAGAGATACAATCAAGTTCAAGTGAGGTACTAATACCACTCTGTAAAACCTTAGAAAGACCACACCTAGAATATTGCATCCAGTTTTGGTCACCACACTATAAAAAGATGTTGAGATTCTAGAAAGATGCAGAGATGAGCATCAAGGATGATTAGGGGAGTGGAGGCTAAAACATACGAAGAACGGTTGCAGGAACTAGTGAAGATAAGGACCAGGGGAGACATGATAACAGTGTTCCAATATTTGAGGGGCTGCAACAGAGAGGAGAGCATCAAGCTATTTTCCAAGACATCTGAAGGCCAGACAAGGAATAATGGATGGAAACTGATCAAGAAGACATTCAACACAGAAATAAGGAGAAATTTCCTGACAGTGGGAACAGTCAACCAATGGAACAGAAGTTTCCTTGGGAAGTTGTGGGAGTTTCATCACTGGAGGCTTTTAAGAAGAGATTGGACTGCCATTAGTCAGAAATGGTGGCTTGGGCAGGGGGTTGGACTAGATGACCTAAAAGATCCCTTCCAACTCTAACAGAGTAAACCGCCACTGAAATCCTATCAGCAGAAAAGAGTTTAATGATTTATGGAGGCAAGTAAGATTCCATCATGCTAATGTGTAGCAATCCCATTAGAAAAATATGTGTATTAATGTGTAATTCTAAGTCAACAATTTGCATTCATACTGTGGGGAAATTGGCATCTCAGAAATGGACTGGCACTTGATCCCTGTGTCTCTGTCTTATAAAGAGAAGTACATGACTAGACCCTCTATTTTCTGAGTAGAAAATAGGATATGGTTCACTTGCTGCAAATAAGCAATAATTGGATCACACGGGTGAGAGCTGGTGGCATTCTAGTGAATTGGTAAAAGCCTTGATTCATGTTTTCAAGGAGTAGCTGCAATTCAGTAATGAACCCCCTCTTAACTGATAAAATGTTCCCAGTTCAATCCGAGCTATCTTCAGAACTCTTTAGATCTCAGCTTCTATGTCTCAATGTGCCAGCAGATGCTGTCAGGTATTTTCCAGTATAGGGCCAGTATTACCCAACCTTGGCAAATTTAAGATTTGTGGACTTCAATTCCCAGAATTCCCCAGCCAACAGAGTTAAAGGCCATATATTTTAAAGTTGTTAAGGTCAAGAAACACTAGCTTGGGCTCTTAATTCCACCATTCCTGCCTGTGACTAATGGAAACTGGAGGCAAAGTTTCAAGAAGGCACCGCTTTTCCCATCTGTTCTGACCCAGCTCCCTTCTGTCAGAAAACCCCACTGTGTTTAAATCAATGATTCCTTTATTAGGAGCGCCTGCAGCCCCAGCAAAAAGTTTTTCTCTCAATGCAGGCTAACAAGTCTGTCGGGGAGGGAGTTGAATAGTTGTCTGCCACATCTATTCATCTCTGCCCACTGCCTTTTATCCCAGAGCTAGGGTGGGGCTTCACTAGCAGCAGTGGCTCTTCCATCCCAAGGATCGGCCCACAGATTTCCACTGCTCTCCTCTCCTCTGCCTTCTGCACATTGGCACATCAGGCACTGGACAAATTTGTTCCTCCTCTTCTTCCTCAGCCACCTCCAGACCTGGGGGCTGTTTACTCATCATCTGAGGGTTGACGGATGGCCCTATCCCTCTCTCTCTCTCTCTCTCTCTCTCTCTCTCTCTCCCTCCCTCCCTCCCTCCCTCCCTCCCCTCTCTCTGAAGGAAGCTCATAGTATTCCAAAATGTACAGGAAAAGGTCATCTATGCCAGGTCTGAAGAAAAGCACATAATTAGGACTTTCCAACTACCACACAAATCTCTGAAAAGCAGTCCATTGCAGAGGCAAAGTCTAAAGATTGCTCTTGTGATATGGAAAGTATCTCTGCCCATATATGTCCATGTGTTTTCACCAAACATGCCAATCTTTTACTGACCTCGGAAGGATGGACAGCAGAGTTAGCCTGCAATACTGCATTCTAACCATTGTGCTAACATGGCTTATATATACATATACATATACATATATATATGTACACGTGTACACACACACACACACACATATATATATATATATGTATCTACACACACACACATCATACACACACGCACCAGCAGTGGGATTCACTTACCTTCCCTACTGGTTCATAAATGCCTCATCTGCGCATGTGCATTGCCTTCTGCGCATGCGCAGTGCTTGCGCATTACAGCGGGGTGGGTGTGGGGAGCCTCCTGCAGCTGCCACTACCGGTTCACCCAAACCGGCTGAATACCACCTCCATCGCCCTCTCTCTCTCTCTCTCTCTCTCTCTCTCTCTCTCTCTCTCCTCTTCTCACACACACACACACACACACACACACACACACACACACACACACACAATTAGATACATAGATACATTCATACAGTATACATATACACATACAGATTTACATTAGGCTTTCTTCTGTAAATTATGAATACTTGTTTAATTTATGTTGATCTCTATGACACCAACTCTACATGGAAATATGGATTTTTTTCACATTTGGCTTTGATAAGTATGGAGAAGAGTTTGTTATTTTTCTTGAAATATACAGTATTAATGTAAAGATAATTATCTGGATTATAAAAATAATATAAACATTAGTAGAATTATTTTTAAAAAATGCATTCATTAACCAGCAAGGAAAGAAAAGTATGTAACATCCTAACCCTTTAATATTCTTTCTATGTATTTTATTGAGCAATGGGTAGTTTTACTGATTAGCTAGGAGAATATGTGATTTAATTACATGGTAGAATCCAAAATACTGAAACTGATTCTACTTTTAGAATATGTTCATTTCCTGTTTGTGTAGTGTGTTCCAGCATGGAATTAGGATTTTTACTTTTAATTGGGTTACCAAATTTGCCATATCACTGCTATTCCTCTAACAGCACAAATAATTAAGCTCAGGAAACTGATAAATCTTTTGAAAATTACCTGGCTGTGATTCTTGTGGACCAGCTACATTTTTAAGGCTAAACATACATGAATTGTAAAATGATCCCCTCCCAGCAAAACATCCAAATAAAACTACCGTATCATATTCTAATATGAGTCTTTACCAAACTGGCATTCTCTAGATGTATCAAACTACATTAATTTTACACCAAAAATAGTTCAGACATCTGGAAAACATTAGCCTGGCGAAAGCTGGTGTAAAGCACATCAGTCTCTCAGCAATCCAGAGATCTATTTAAAATTCATACTGATTTATCCAACATATGTTCTTCCATATCAGCTCTAGGCTCTATAACTGCCTATTTTGTTAGCAGAGTTAACATTGCAATATACTTGTGAGAGCAGAAAAATGGTCAGTTTGCTGGAGAAAGAACCTCAACTGATGCAAATATTTGCTATAACCAAGCTCTGCTTTTTCTCCTAAAATGCAAGTTTTTAATATACAGAGTTATTCTGTCCTGGAATAATCTCAAGGAATATATTATCTTTATCAGTGATAAAATAAGGTGCTATTGTGAGAATCGCCATTTTACTATTTGTAATTACCATAATACCACTTTATAATGCCTTTGTAAGGCCACACTTGGAATACTGCATCCAGTTTTGGTCGCCACGATGTAAAAAAGATGTTATGACTCTAGAAAGAGTGCAGAGAAGAGCAAAGATGATTAGGGGACTGGAGACTAAACCTTTTCAAGAACGATTGCTGGAATTGGGCATGGCTAGTCTAGTGAACAGAAGGACCAGGGGAGACATGATAGCAGTGTTCCGATATCTCAAGGCATTGCCACAAAGATGAAGGAGTCAAGTTATTCTCCAAAGCACCTGAGGGGAGGACAAGAAGCAATGGGTGGAAACTAACCAAGGAGAGAAGCAACTTAGACCTGAGGAGAAATTTCCTGACAGTTAGAACAATTAATCAGTGGAACAGCTTGCCTCCAAAAGTTGTGAATTCTCTAATACTGAAAGTTTTTAAGAAGAGATTAGACAAGCATTTGTCTGAAATGGTATAGGGTTAGGGCCTGAGCAGGGGTTAGAAGAAGACCTCCAAGGTCCCCTCCAACTAGTCTAGTCCAGTCCAGTCTATAACCTGTGCTGTCTTACTAAAGATGATACACTGGGAGTATCCAATGCAAAGAAATTTCCTTATTCAAAGTCCTGTTGGCATTACCACTAAGACCTACCTTTCTTCTGTAAAACTCACAGGAGAGCTATTTTTATCTAGAATGCATCTAAAAAGTGGTCCTTTTGACATGTCTTTCAGTATCAAAGTTTAGATAATACTGTTGAATTGCTGCAGGAAAATGATGATATTAGATTTCTTCCTCCAAGGACAAAGACTTTGACTGAGGAACATCTTCAGATATCAGGATTTATGTTACAGCTTTTTTAGCAATGATCTCATCTTACTCTTTCATTGCAGTCCACCCAAAAAATGTCATGTATAATTAATACTGTGTTTATTATTACAATTTACAGGCAGGAATGGTCCTGAGATGTGGACAGTTCTGGATCGGTTTATTGCTCGTGCCCACAGCGTGCCTTGTTAAAGATGTGGCATGGAGAGCGTAAGTTATTATTTACATTCTTTTGAAAAATGTTATTTACTTAAACTTACAATATCTCAGGGTAGTCCTAAAGCTGCTAACCCTTAATCTCAGTCCTAAATCACTTAGATGGGTACAAAGTGTTAATCAGTGCTAATGGTTCTTTGCAAATACGCAACCATTTATTTTCCTCATCTATGAAGGTACATACAACACTGTTTTTTAAATGAATACAGAAGTCAAATTTCATATAGAATGGAATTTAATAATAATGAACATTTAAAGCAAAATATTATGATTTTTCCAAATGAAAATCCTTGTTTGTTTCTAACTATTCCCTGCCCTTTTGCTATTGTTTCATCTTAAATAAACAGAATGTCTTTATGATCCAAGACTTTTCTGCTTCTGCCTACAAGATATTTTATAAATATATAAAATATTTCAGCTGTTGCAGTGACATGGAGTAGTGGCAAACAAGACTTTAAATCTGTAGCTTGCATTAAAACTCAAATGCAAGCAGTATAACCTAAAATGCTCTTAACTTTGTATTTCACTGTGATTTGAAGAACGAATGAATTTCTTGATGGATTGAGTTCCTTACCAACATTCCCAAACAAGACCATATTTTAAATTTATTGATTGAGTATGGAACTAATTTTAGAGCCCTCTGCTATGTTTCATTCTTTATGAAGAAAATGGAAAAGGGAGCAAAATGTTATCGGGAAGAAGACAACTTTTTGTGATCTTCTTCAGGTCTTGAAGACTTAGCTATTTTCAATAATTACTGTGGATTAAAAATAATTCTACAATGTGTTCTGATGGAAATAAATGAATTCATATCATGTAACTTTGTATCATGCAACAGGAGAAAGTCCAAATAACATGGTTTTTCTATAGCAGGGGCATCAAACTCAAGGCCCGGGGGCCAGATCTGGCTTGTGGGGTACTTAGATCTGGCCCTGGAAACAGCAAACACTGGCCCACAGTGCCTCTGCCAGTGACAATGGAGCTTGTGAGGGATGTATGCAGCCCTCCTGAGCTTTGTTTTCACTGGCAGAGGATTCCAGGAGGCCATTGCAGCCAAAAATGGAGTTCGCTAGGGCTGCGGGTGACCCTCCTGAGCACCATTTATGCTGGCAGAGGCTTTCAGGAAGCTACCACAGACAAAACCGAAGCTCAGGAGCCCGTTTTTCGCTGGCAGAGTTCTCAGGCTAGCACAGGCACCCCTGACATGAGTGACGTCAAGCTGACCACGTCCACCCCCCACAGCCCCCTGAGGTCAAACACAACCCTGATGCAGTCCTCAATGAAATTGAGTTTGACACCTCCTGTTCTATAGGAAAACAAAATCTGCATTAGAAGATTGTTGTTCTTTTAACTACCTAAAAAGCAGAAGGTGGTTAAGAAGTTTATTTCATCTTCTTTTCACTTTTAAATAACCCAGTACCTATAATGGGGCTTGCAAATTGGAGACCTTTTTACATTTATTGAATGGTCATGGAATCGTGTACACATTTCTGTCCATTGCAGGAAGTGCTGAAGAAAGGAGAAGCTAAATGTCTACGGAGATTCTCAGTCATCCAAGTCCCAGTTGTCCCAAATATGCGTTTTTTTCAAGAGGCAACTGGACTTCCTTGTTTTTCTTTGAAGATGTTTCGCTTCTCATCCAAGAAGATTCTTTAGCTCTAACTGGATGGTGGGGAATGGAAGGATTTATACATTTTGCAGACAGCTGGTCAATTGCATTTTTGGGGAGTCGATGGCCTCAATTATTCCATTCCCCACCATCCAGTCAGAGCTTCTCAGATGGGATGCAAAACGTCTTCAAAGAAAAACAAGAAAGTTCAGTTGCATCTTGAAAAAACACCTTTGGAACAAAGAAAGAAGCTGATTGCAAAAGCTCATTCTGACAGGCTTTTCAAAAACAATTTTTAAACAAACTGGAAGAGATTTCTTTGCAGTTTAATTGTTAAAGGCGCAAATCTCTCTGGCGTGTCAATTATATCAAGTATATCTGGGGGAGGGGTTCCTAAAAATATGTTAGAAAAATGTTCTGAACAAAATATCTATCTCCAGAAGAAACACATAAACACCATCTTTTCCCTCTCATCTGTATTAAGATGATATTAAGCTTTTGAAAATATATAAAAAAAGAATAATCATATTTCACTGGCAACATTTCAGTCATATTTCACTGACCATGTAAAAAATATATGCATCGTATGGGTGAGACTGTATTGCATTGCTTTTATACTGTAAAATATTTCAATAACCTATTCTAGGGGTGTCAAACTGGCGGTCTGCGGGACAGATGCGTCACATGCAGGCCACACCCACCCCAGCTCCATGAAGGGGGGAAACTTTGTGATACGGCCCATGACGGCGCAAGTTTGACACCCATGACCTATTCCATCAGTTACATCCATGATAGTATCAAAATCTAAAGTAGGTTTTGCAGCCGCTGCAAAAATACTATTATTTTTTCTGGTTACCCTCAAAATAAAAGGAAACCATTCAATTAAATGTGAGAAAATGAAGTGGAATATCAAGATCTCTCTCTCTCTTTCTCACTCCATCTCCCTCTCTCTTCTACTACTATATCTGGACCCCAAAACACTGAGAACAAGTAAATGAAAACAAGGAAGTACCGAGACTGTCTTGCTATCCTCCAGAGGATTTCTAGATTTTTCACTGTAGATATATTATCTGAGTATATACTATGTGTCTGCATATGCCTGTGTCTGTGGATGTGTGTGAGAATGATTTGTGCCCATTATGTGCTTAATTTAGTCAACCACTAATTTGAACAAATCTCTCAGTGATGTATCTGGTGGCACACCATCATTTTAACTGGAGCAAATATTACTAAATTTGATTCTTAAAAGTATGCATTTGAGATTTCTAAAACGGTTTAATTGCCTGGATAATACGATATTCATTCAGCTTCCAAATTCCAGACTGTTCTATGTAATAGCAAACTATATATTATCTAAAGAGCTGAGAAGCAGAGCACATAGATAATATCATACTATGGTCTTATTTCAAATTGAATAATATGGCTGCTGAAATCCAGGGCCTTTCAGCAGTAAATCAATTGGAGAGAGGGGAGAAAAGAGTAATAGATGTTCCTCTATTTTTCCTACTTATATCAGTCCTGTACATATCATCAATAAGATTGCAATGCATTTCAGTCGGAATTCAAGATTGGAGTCCCTAATCACTCTTTTGGATGACAAGCAGAGGAACTGGAGTGGGGAGTGCAGCCCTCCTATCCTACTTGATCTATAAATTCAATCATTGTGTCTCTTTTGATCACCTCTCGGTCAAGGCATTGTTTTGTGGTAGTTGTCCTCCTTCCTCTGGATACAGCTTCAGTCAGTGAGTTGGGTTTTTGAACTCTACAGCCCTACATTATGACATACCCCAGGGTTCTGTTTTCTCACTTCCACTTAGCAGTTACATAAACCAATGGAAGGGATTATCTGCCAGCATGGCATATAATATCAATTGTATGTAGATAATATTTTGGTGTACATTCTGGCCATCTAAGCCAAATGATGCTGTTGAGATGCCATTCCAGAGACCGGGTGGATTTCTCTGTGGAGGAACAGACTCGATCTCAGCAAGATGGAGTGGTTGTGATTTGAAAGCTGAGACCAGTGATAGCTCTTCTTTGACTCTGGATAGTGTTGTGTTCTTTCAAATTAAATTATTTCACAACTTGTAGCTCGTCCTGGGCTCATGGCTCTTATGGAGCAGGTGGTTAGAAGGTTTTTGCACAATTCCTATACATTACTTCAATGGTAGCAATTTTGGGATCAAGAAGTGCTATTCATGCCTTGAGCCATGCCTCATTTGGCCTATGGCACTCTATGTGGGTCCACCCTTGAAGATCATCCAGAAAGTACAGTTGATCCACATTGTAATGGCTCATGGAATTTAAGAGTACTTCTCAGTTTCTCTGGAGAAAAATCAAAACTATAAGAGCTGCACTAGTTGCCAGTTGACTTCTGAGTGTAATTTAAGGTGCTGGATGTCATTTTTAAAGCAATACATAGCTCGAGATTTCCATCTCCCAGGAGACTCTATCTGTCAAATACATTGTAGCAGAGATGGCGTCCTTCAAGTTCCAACTTTGAGGGTTATCTTCATGAGCCATGACAATGCATTCATCCAATAGGACATTTAAAATGAATTTTAAAAAACTCAACTTTCTTTAAGTGTGCTTCTAAAAATTATTGGATTTTAGAAATTACTTTTTGTGTATTAGAATAGACCACATAAAGAATGGAACAGATTAGTATTTTATTTGTATGAATATTTCTTATATTTCTGTACACTTATGGCTCCAACGCTCAAGGCTAACTCAACCACATATGTATTCTTGAAAAGATATTCCTCTTTTTTGGCTGAAATTCAGTTGTGCTTAGCATCGTCTGAAAGATCCAAGACAACGCACAGCCCATTGGCCAGCCTAGCCATTCCTGCTGTCTGACCTTGAACAGGAAATCTGACTCTCATGTAGTCAATGAAAGTTGATGTGTTAGTTTCTTTGTTTTGTGTCTTTCTCCTACGATGCAGGGCCAAGCATACTTACCGTAAAACTTTGCTGGAGCAGGTTCAAGAGTTGGAAGCTAAATCCAAAGAGCTGAGGAAATCTATGCTGCGTGATAGCAATGGAAAGAGGTGGGATCAAGTCCATCTTAACTGGAAGCATGCCAGATCCATTTTTTTTTCCTCCTTCTGCCTCTTCATTATTTTTGCCATGCATTGCAATGTAATGGTTACCTTCCAAAGAGCAATGTTATTCATTTACATTTTTTTTTTCAAAAAGCTTCCATCTTTCACTGCTCCATCCCTTATCTGTTGATACAGGAGGCCAAAAGCGAGGCTCCCTATGTAGTTTTTTGCATGATAGCTTGTAATATTTTTGTTGGATGTGCTGCCAATCTGAAGTTTTATTTCAACTTGCTTCTTTTTTAAAAAAAATGTTGGTTTGGCTCGTTGTGTTGTGGTTCTGAATAAAAATATATTAAGACCATATTAAAAACCAGGGCAGATCTATCTTTTCAGAACGTTTTACTGCTACCACCCCACTTAAAATGAATCAGTCCTTTGTTGAAGTAAGCTATAGACTTTATTACTGGATAATGGAGAACTTTGCATTAGTATTTGATCTCTAGTTTATGGATAAGAAAGTATCAACACTCATTCAAAATCTCCAGGATCTGAAAAGCTATTTTAATCTTATTCAGTGACTAGCTGGATATTCATGCTCCGCTATGAAACTATGTGATCGGGCTTGATAAAGCAACGCTTACAGCTTGAAAATTAATGAGTACTTACAATCGGACTCTCCTCTCCCCTTCTCTCCCTCACACTTGCCCCAAAGAAGCTTCTTTCCTCTCCTATGCCCCTTCTCTTCCTCAGACTGGCCCTATTGATCCTTTCCTATTCCCTTCTCTCCCTCAGGCTTGGCCCACACAGGCTTCTCCTATCTTATCCCCTGCTTTCCCTCAGTCTAACTCCTTAGTATCAGAGTGTTTTTTAGGTGGGGAGGGGGAGTGGAATGTCTAACTGCCACCCCACAGGCCAGATAAGTGGCACACTGGCCACACCCACACCTAAGTGGCAGTTGGAACAAAGTTCTTTTCAAGTGGGAAGGGGATGTGGAATGTCTAACTCCTAAGAATGTTAATAATAATATAAGAAACAGTAATGATCTGATGGTCATTTCAAAAAAATCCTTTTCTTAGCGAGCACCTAGACAGTAAGAGGAACATACGTGCCAAATTTCAAGTTTGTAGGCTTTACGGTTGAAAACAGTTTAGAGACAAGAGTGGCTGTTACTGAAACAAAAGTCAAAAGTTTAGTTGACTTTAGTTGACATTCAAAAGTTTTGAATTCAAAATAACCTCTGAATATATTAAAATAAATTTATTTATTTTGTCCCATTGACGGTTTCAGAAAGTGCCCAACAGAATATAGGCTTGTCCAACATATTATTCAAGCATACCAGTGTCCTTTTCAGTAGTACAAGAATTTATTTCCATACTTCAGACCATGATAGGTTCAGCTTACGCTATCTTTCAGCATGTACAAATTTCACTTTTAAACTATTAACAGAGTTCTCCTTTGGATGATAACTTAAGTGCTTCTGAATTGTCACTTGATCCTCTAGAAACTAGAGCTAATGCATATGCTATGTGTGGATCTTTTTTTATCTGATGTGAAAGACATTGAAGAGAGTTTTGTCCAGCCCACCCCCTCCCTGCTCCCCTTTCTTTGAGCTTCAGAGGGTTTCAGTTCGCCCTTTTTATAAGGCAATTGTGCTTCAGCAAATGGGAAAGTGTCACAAGTTCAGAAAGGTTTTGTAACTCATACTTGTGTTCTCCAAACAATATGGCTCTGTGTGATGTGTGGAGGAACTTTCACAATAATTAAGCATGATTTTAACAAACTCTCTCAAATACCAATACAAGTAGAAGGAGGCTTTGGAGAGAAACTTCAGCCTCACAGGATTGCCAGGATCAGTTTTGGGCAAAGCTCATGTATTTCTGGTAAAGTAATTGCCACATCGTGACTGCTGTTGAAGCAGGTGGACAAATAAATCTATAATTCCATTTCGTTCAATAGCGCTGTGAAATCACAGGACTTTTACTAAAATAAATAAAAGTGTCCAAGATCTAGGTTGTGTTGGGTTTTTCTTTTTTTTTTACTCAATTGTGTGTAATGTCATTGAATTGCTTAGATTTCTGTCATTGTTGGAAAAGAGCCACAGTCCTAAAATAGCCCAAACAAGTCTGGTGTCAACTTTTCAAATTAACAGGCTTTATTAAAAGCCGTAAGCTTTTGTGAAGTAGAGTTCAAGGCATAAGATGTGTGGGGTAGATTTATGTACTTGGTTAAATCTGCCTTCCCCAACCTGATGATCTCTACTTATAAATTGGAATAGAGTTCCTATTTTTATATATAGCCTATTGAACACATCAGAAATAACTCCTCCTCCTCCACCCGTTGAAGAAAGCTGGCCTAGGCAATCATTTCTAAATTAAAAGAATAAACTTCTTTCTCTTTTTTTTATCCTGAAATGCTTCTTTGTGTTTCTGGACGCTTCGTACACTTTTTAACCGGTGGATTTATCCCATAAACATTAGGACATTACCTGGTTGATTTTTGCAATCACATTGATTATAGGTAGTTGCAGTTATGGCTTGTAAGAATTTATTTTCTTCTAAACATAGCCCGTTATACTTGAAAAACAGAAGTCAGGATCTAGGACAGCCACTTTGTGTATTTGGTTCCAGTCCTTCTTCTGATGTGATGCAGATGACTCCTATTTTTTAAAAATCTTTCCGATTATCAGCTGTTAAAGAAAAGGAGTGAAGACTAATTTGAGGTCTCTTTGCTCCCTCTATTCCAGCTATTTAAAAACAGGCCTGTATTTTCGGTTCCAGCTGTTCTACATGCTCTTTGGGGAGCCTCATCTTAGTTTATCAAACACTCTGATGATCATCACCTGGATGGTTGTGTGTGCATCTGGAAATGTGTTCAACGTTGTGCATAAACATGTCTGTGGGTGCGATTGGCTTTCCTCTGTCTTGTTGACTTACTGTTTTGGCATTCTATAAATTACGCTGCCGTGTTCTGCTCCATTCCAAGAGAGTGTGCTTTCTTGGCCATTTGTTTTATTGTGTTCCCTTTCCAATCTCTTTCCTCTGAATTCCTTTTTTTTTAATTGGCTCCCCTCATTCTCAGTAGGCTTGTAAGCAGACAATATAAGGAATCCCTGCCAGCCCTTTGGCCCATTCCTCTCCCCCCCCCCCAAGGACTCCCCCTCCTCTCTTCCTCCACTCTGCATTTGTTTTTTCTCCTCCTTAATTGCACCCAGGTTTCCTGGGTGGTCCATCTGCAAACTAGATAATGGTGGAGTATCTCAGCCTGCCTGAAGTTGATGTGTCATGCTTTTGATGAGGCCTCTTGAGTGCCTTCTGAGAACCATTCTCCCCACCCCCCCTTCTCACTTTGTGTCCTGGTTTTTTCACACCTGCTTGTCTTTCAGAAATCAGGCATTTGGAAAAGCAGTGCACTGGGAATTTTCTAATAGTGCAATCTAAGGATAGATCGGGATATATATATATATATATATATATA